CGGCGGCACCACCTCCCTCCCACGCGTGGGAGAGCGCAGCCGGTTGCAGCAGAGCCGAGGGATGCGCCCTGGTTGCTCACCTCCCCTCAAAGCCCAGCTCTGCCGGAGCGCACACAAACCCAGAAACGTCTGTTTTCGGCACATACTGCCCACATTTAGCGTTCATGTCCTTCGCTTATCTGCTGCTCCCGGACCTCCCACGGCACAGCATCAGCCCTGCTGCACGCCAGCAACTCAAAACACCCTCCGACCTGCACTGCTCAACACAGGCCCTCCATCACCCCTCAGAGCCCAGGCGATGGTTTGGTACCGCTGGGCACCCTGCTGCTTTCCCGAGGTGGCCTGGGAATATCTCCGCTCGGTGCTGCCAAAAGAACCAGGGAAGGGCTGACACGGTGCTCTGATCCAGGCACCCAGAGCCTCACCACTACAAAATAAGGACATTCAAGCTCACTGGGATACGACCCAACGCTCCCAGAGCGAGCTCATGCCCCCTCGCAGCATCCCGGTACCGGAGGCAGCAGCGGAATGGGCGACGCAGGGCTCCCAGCAGAGAGGCACACAGCCGCCCTGCAATCCCCTCCTGCGCTGCTCACAGCCTAACCCGGCCTTTAATTCCAGCAAGCAGGGACAAAGTCCCAGCGTGTCCTCCTGCAGCAGCAGCAGAGAACACACCTCTGGAAACGCTGGCCATGCAAGTGAAAAACAGGCAATTTCAGCTTCCCCAGAAATGACAATAAGCGGGTAAGTTGCCTTGGTGGCTCAAGCGGAGAAGGGCTGAGGTTGCAAAAGTCCTTGCCCCATCTCTGCATTCACCACACTAGGGGGAATCAGCACTCCACATTTCTCCCTCAAGCAGCCACTGAGCTAAGGAGCTCCGAGCTGGCCCAAAACTGCTGCCCTCACCTCCCCTCAGCTGCAGGGGAATAAAGAATACTTTACTAAGGCTGCTAGACCCAGACAAGCCTCCAGCCACATTTCCATCGCATCCCCTCATGAGACCCCACCATCACTCAGAGAGAAGAGCAGGTTACACCAGCCCGTGTAACCCCAGGACCTGCTTCTGCTTCTGGTCTTTTACTTCATCACAGCTCAGGCTCAAAGCTTTCACAGTTGCTTGAGGCGAGTCAAAGCTGTCTCCACACTTGGGGCTGGGTGAACGGTACGCTTAAGATGTAGGACCACACTGGTAAGTGTAAGGATGTTACCCCTCATCCATGGGTCTTCAGTGTCCTGGGTGCATGCTTCAGACTTACCCGTAAGGGAACAACTCTTAACAAAGAACCCAAACAACTGGATCACACACAGATTATGATACACAGAGAATCTTTCAGGCCAGGGATGCTTTAAAAAAACCAGTTTATTTTACCTTACAAATGATAAATAATTTGTTTTAAAAAAATCATTTCACGTGTGTTTTACTTCATGTTGTAGTATTAAAATACCTTTCCCTTCTCCCCCCCTTAAGCGGTCAATACAAAAATAATTGTGACCAAATTATTTTATTTTTTTATGTCAAAAATTCCTGTAGTTTAGGCAAAAAGGCACATTGTGAAGGCTTTTCACCAGGAGGTACAGGGGTTCACAGTGACCCCAATGGCCTCTCTTCCCTCCCTGCTTGTTGTAACTCGAGTGGAAGAGGACACAGGAACCAGGTAGCACTCCTGCAGTGCTTTTTGTCTCATGCCCTCCTGGTATACACCAGGGCCAAGGTCAGCTTCAGTGTCATCGCTATTTTACACATGGGGGAAACCAAGGCACAGCAAAGCAGTACAATTAGCTAAGAGCTTCTTGTGAATAACTGGCAGAGTAGGACATAAAACTGGACGTAGATGTAGAACGTTGTCTTCTTCAAAATGACAGTGCAAACCCACCTGGGATCATCTTGCCCCCTTGCAACCACAATGTTATGATGGTAGTCACAAGTCTCTAGAGGTTTCTTTCTTAGTGGGAGAGTCACAGGACCAACACAAAAAGTTGGGCCTTCACTAGTCTAAACAGAGATTAATTAGAGCCCTAATTACCAGCCCTTTAGGGGCAAAAGTCATTGCTGGGATATATCCCCCCACTGTATCTTCTAGCCACAGGAGGGATATAACAGCCAGTCGGACACTAGAAAAAGCTACAAGCAGGCTCTGGCTTTGGGTAGGCTTCGTACCTTCCTTGTTCAGGTTATGTGGTCCCATAAATCAGCTGTTTTCCGACTGGGAAATGCTGTTGTGTCACCAGGAGGTGGTAAAGTCAGCGAAGGGGCTTCTTCGGTGGCAGAGATGTTTGACAACCCAGGTCATCAAGACCACTTCTCTCCCTGCCTTGACCATTCATCAGGATGCTTGAGGCTGGTAACTGATCAGAGCTGCCCCCTTTCACATCTGCTAACTCCAGAGCAGGGCAAAACACACCCCTCCCAGTGCTTCACCCCAGAAACCTGCATCTCCAGCTTCTTCCAGGAAGCTGGATCTCCTGGCAGCTGGCAGGAGAGCATCAACACGCAGTGAGTTGGGCCCGCTTATCACAGTATGAGGCAGCGTCAGGTGGGGAGCGAGTCACAGGGGGCCAGAAGGAAAGGCACACACAGAGCGCTCCTGTTACAAGGCACTGCTGTGAACCATATTCCTTCTTTGGAGCAGTCAGCTCCAGGAGGCCCTTAGCATCATAAATGGTGGCAGGAGGCAGATGAGTGCCCCTTGAAAATGTCTGGCCTGGCTCTGCTAGGTTTCCTCGTCCCAGAGACATAGCTGCTTCTGTGGCACGTAGTAATCGAAGGTGTAGCCCTTCTGGCAGCTGCGGATGCCGCATTTGTAAGAAGAAACTTTGCCCCCAGCATCACGACTCTTGCAGTACTTCAGCATGCATGGGTACCACTCGATGCTGAGCGAGTAGCTGCAAATGCAGGGTTTCCAGCGGTCTGCACACAGCTTGCAACGCTGCAGGTCAGGGAGATCGGATGTCTGCGGCAGGACCTCGAACATGGAGCCATCCACTCCTGCAGGAGAAACCAGAGGCACATTGCTCAGGGTGCTGCTGAAAGGCAAGACCAAAGGAGAGAGCCACCAAAGCAAGCGTTGTTCTCTCTGCACAGTCTCCAGGACAGCTGAGGAGAATGAGGTTAGAGTGCATTTCCAGGGGCTGTTTGGACACGAGTCTGAACAGGAGCTATGAGAGAAGAAAGTGCCCTGGGGAAAGTAAGCTAAAAGATACACAAAGTGTGTAAAGAACATATTTCTTTTGGGTGATGGACCAGGTGAAAGGTTACCGTGAAAATACCTGCCTAATCAGGTTCACTAGGAGAGCACCACCAAAAGAAGTCAGATTTGCTAACAAATAAGACTAGTGCAATGTGACGTGCAAGCAACACACACGCCTCCTCCACCATAAAGACAGTGAAAGAGAAGGCAAAATGATCTGTGCTGATCACCAGAAACCTAGTGGGAGAGATCACGGCAGAGGGCCAACTTGCTGACAGAAGCAGTTCCAACGAAGGAAACTTACCTTTCTCCAGCCAAAATTTGACATCTTCTTCTCGGGTGTAAATTGCTTCTTTGGCCTCTGCACAGACATTGTGGATGTGAGAGCTCAGCTGGGCCCCCTTGCTGAAGTTGACAGCTACATCCATGCTGAGATGTTCCAGGCCCCGCACCTCCTCAGCCTGCCGCACTGTCCTGGGATTTTTCTGCAGAGGATGAAATAACGAAAACTTGAATCCTGGTTGCAACAAATTGTTCCTTATAGCATATCGTGATTTCATGCCAACATAAGAAGATGCGCAAATGGATATTCCTCTGTAAATGCACCTGCATCCTATCTGGATGGAAGGCACTTAAACTTCTTGTTGATGCTGAAACTGGTGACAATTTATCACTGCTCTGATTTGCCTGTGATTGTTTCTCAATGCTTTGTCGTGATGAATCAGTCTCAAATCAGTACTTACTTCATTGGGCAATGTGGGGCAGGGATTTTCACGGTGATTGCTCTAGCCATCCACCTACCCTTTGATACAGACTAGGTTGAACTAAATCATGCCTCCTTCTAGTATATTAGTAGAACAGGGTCAATAATGTTGATGAACTTAGTTTAATACTGAGTCCCTCAAGCAGGAGGGGTGGTCAAAGATGGGTCTAATAGCTGAACGATCGGGCAGCTGCTTGGGAAGGGTGTCCAGACAGGTCAGCTCTACGAAACCCTGGATGGGCTGGAGGATGAAGCTGGCACCGAAGCCAGCTGCAGGGTGCCTCTTACCTGTCGCAGCTTTGCCATAGACTCACTGGGGATGATCTCGTTGCGGTGAAGCCGTGTGACGAAGCAGAGCGCTTGGAACTGGCTCTGACCCCTCTCCAGCTCCCCGAGGATTAAGGCACGGAAGATCTTCACCTCCTGACAAAGAGATAAATAGAGTGAGAGTCAGAGATCTTTGGCATCAGTGGGGGTGAACTGAGACATCAGGGTCAAAGAGAAAAGCTCCAGCCAAAAGAACAAAGTGAAAGGTCTCATACTTCTGCTACCTGAGCACTGGGGTGTAGTCCCAGGTTCAGTTCCACCCAAAAGCCTGCAGCATAATAAGTGGTGTCTGTAAAAAAGTAAGGGTTTTCGCAATCCCGCTGTGGCAAGGACAAATTGCTGCCAGGTCGCATCCCACATCCATGGCTTCCTCAAACAACAGCTGGGGGTTTCTGTCCTTTACCAAGAAGGAAGGCAAGCCTCCAAGGAGTCTCATTTTTTTTTATTAAACAAATATTACACAGCCATTATCTCCACACATTACCTAGGGAAAGCAGTCCCAAATTTCCTCTGCTGCCTTCCCTCACTTGCTTCTGAGCAACTGGTATCCTGGAGAACACATTACTCATTTCTGAACCCAACAGCACGTGGAACAGAAATGAAAGTCAAATTATTAAAGCCAGAAGGAACCCATTATGATCAGCTCCAGCTGACCTTCTTTTCTGCCCGGGTCAATAATTTTGGCATTTTATACAGAGAGCCTCTAACATGGACTCTAGTGCATCTCCAAAACCAGCTTGGAAATCAATCATAGTTACCTTCACATAGACTCAGAGAATACCTTGTTCAATAGCAAAACCTTCCTATATCTTGTTCCGGCATAAATCAACACTGATTTCTATGCAGGTATCAATTAATCTGTCTTCTGGCTTCAGGGGCATCTGTACACTCTGTGGGAATCTGCCATCTCCTGTCTTGGTATCAGATCATGCTACTACAAGGACTAAACAGATGGATCAGTGCCGCCGGCTCAGTATGGAGAGCAATTATTGCCTTTTGGCACCCACCCGCAGCCATTGCTCTTAATGCCCTCCACAGAGAACTGGACAGATATTGGTGGTTAGGGACCAGCAAGCAGAAGGTATGCCAAGCTGCTAAGATCATTCCTTTCCTCCTGAGCTACTCCGGTTGTATGGCTCATAAGCTCGGATTCTTCCAAACCTCTTTCTGCCCTGAGAAGAAAAGGAAGGGAGCAGAAGAAGGTAGCCTTTCACTTTTATACAAGCTCTAAGCAGCGTCCACGCTGAGTTTTTCTGCAGACTAGCTCATACAGCCCACTATTTATTCCCTGCCTTCTCTTCCAGGTCCAGAAGAGAAAAGGGTATGCAATTCAGTGAACATCTGGACAGCTGAAAGAACAGCTGCAATCTGGGATGTGTTTCCCTCCCCAGGATAGGAGAAAGGATTTTGCTGGGTGCATTTGTTGACTGAAGACTCACAATAAGAGCAGGACATGAAGGAGATTTGAGCAGAAAGATACCAAAAATGCCTCTGAAATTACTATTGAATCATTATTTTTTGACAGCTTTAATGGGGAGAATTCCCACTGAGACACTGGCACCACTGGAACGACCCACATTCCCACCTACATTTAGTCCGGCTGCCTTCCAGCTGAACTCTTCCTCTGTGAGCTCCCATACTGTGTAAGGCCCAAGGATGAGCAGACTAAAACTAGTACCCGACCCTCGCATATTCTTCAGCTGCAGATTTAATTTTAATTCACTTCGAACAATCACCATTCAGTTTGGAAAAAGCAAACAGGAATAGCCATGTTTTGCACTTGGGCTGAAAACCTCTACAGGCAGGAGATTAAAAACAGTGTAATACTTCCAGGTTGGAGGCAATTTTTGTAAAATGAGAACATGCTGAGCAACTGATTAATCCTTCTGATCTGTCTATTTAAGAATTAGCCTTCAGACACCCAACTCTCTTTCCTCCTCACGGCTGATACGTACGAGAGATTCACAGCTCTCGCTGCTCCCAGCCAACGGCGCAGGGCTCCCGACCGATCCCACACAGTGCCGGTCCCTCGCTCTCCCTCCGAAGTCCAGAGCCCAGCTGCCCCCGCAGAGTCCAGGCAGAGATAAGCTCCCCCCGCACTGGGCTCAGGTTCCAAGGCACCACTTCCACAGTATACAAAGGGTTTCTGGGTTCAGTGACCCTGTTCGGTGATGAATTCGGACAAAGGTTTTAAGTATTTAAGCGTTTCTGACTTCCAAGCACACAGGACAGGAAGGACCAACTTTGTGTCACCACAATGCACCAGTGGAGCAAATGAACAGTTCTCAGGCATGGAGACAAGCATCTACTCTCCCCTTCAACCCAAGGCAGACACCAGAAGCAAGCTCAGAGTGCACAAGGTCACCGGCCACTGCTGTATGGCCCTCAAAGCACCGTATTGTACTGTTTCCAGCTCCAGCCTTGCTCCCGTCACACCAGCGAGCAAGTGACCCAAGGCTGCTGCTCAGCTAATCTAAGCATTTATCTGCCCTATCACTTGTGCTTACTGATCTATAGGTCAACGAGTCCATGTAACCTCCAGTAAAGATCCCTGCAAAAATCATCATTGAAAGAGCTCATTGGTAGAGGATGGAAGGAGAGAAAGAAAGAGAAAGGTGAGGAAAGGTGGTCTTGCAGTGGGCGAGGTATAGCTGCAGGAGGAAAGACAGTAAGGATCAACGGAGTGGTGTCCCACTGCATAACCCATCCTTTCCTCCACCCACAGACTCTCCTTTCTCCGAAAGGCATGGCTGACCTCCCTCAGGTCTCCCCCCTCCTGCCCTCGGGCACACACCCAGCCAGTCCTTTGCCCCCCACCTGCCTCCCGCAGCCCCTGAATCGGAGAGGCGCTGCACCTGGCTGCTTGGATCATGAAGTCAAACGGTAAAGCCAGATCTTTAAGTCAGCCATTCCACCAGCCCTGCGGATGCTGCTGCCTGCCCCAACCTGCCACCATCAATGCCTGCAACCCCACCACACGCTGGGCTCGGGTCCCCCAGGGAGGGGGTCATTTCTTCTCCTCCTCCCTGCATCCCCAGTGCTTCTGGCCCATGTCCCTCTCCCAGCTCTATCTCACTCCACGGCATCTGAAGGAAGCAACTCTGGTGTGAAGAGGGCTCTGGTGCTGCCTGAACTCCAGGCGTCAGGGATTTCCACCACATTTGTTGATACCAAGGGAGGTGCACTGGAAAGACAGGAATGGTCCAGGTTTGCCAGCACTGAAATAGCCAGTGAGCCAACAAACAGCTTTAATCAAGCTGTTCCGTTCAAGGAGCCGGCTCCTATGGCATGCACTGTTCTGAAGAGAGAAATCCCACCTCTACCTGGCTCGGAGCAAACCCAAAGCAACCCTTGCTGTGGATTTCAGAGCAAGGCTAAAACCCTGCCTCATGCTGGCCCACTTTCTGGGAGACACGCACCCTGCAGTGACCACTCTCTCCTGAGCAAGAAGTCAGCCCTGCCTCACCTCTCTGTCTCAAAGTCTTGCTTGGCTTTCCCTAGCTTGCTGGCTTTCCCTGCCCTGGCTACACAACCTCAGGCGGAGCAAGAACCGAAGCTTGTCACATCAAAAATATATCGTTTCTCACATAGAACCAAAGTTTTTCCAACTGGGAGAGAGCCTTTCCCTGCCCAGCCACCTCACCTCTTTCCCACCAGTACGAGTGAGGTGAATCAGTGCCAAGCTGGGTACCCAGCCAAGGCAACAAACGGCACCTTCGATTCTGGGTTTCCGCAAAATTTCCCAGCAGGGAACAAGTCCCAGCAGAACATCGCCTTTGCAATACGGGGACTCTCCGGATGAACTCATCACGGGGGCGTTGAGAATCCCTGGCCCTGACGGGCACTCGTGTGGCGGGTACAGTTACAGCTATTGTTTAGGTTTGGATGACAAACGCTTGGTGTAACAGAGAACAAGCAGTTCTGCAGCCAGGCTCTAACCATGGCACTGGAGGTTACTGCAGCCTTGGCTTTCACAGCAAGGGGAGGGCAGCTCCTCTTTCCCAAAGGCAGAAAGGAAATCAGTGCACCGAGCTCCCAACAGCCCAGGTTGCCTGCACCTACCAAAGGGACTTCCAGCAAAGACTAGCCTGCAAGGAGGAGCAGGGAAATCATCAAATTTCTTCCCTCCTCACACTGTCCTCAGCCAGCTCCTCCAGGGACTGTTATCTGGGGTGTGAGAACAATCCCACCCCTATTTCTAGGGTTTATCCAGTAGAGACTTACAAGCCTGTGTGGTCTAGATCTGAGCCCAGCGTCTCAACTTCACGTTGAGTGGAGGAAACCAGTTCCCAGGGAAATAAATTATTTCAATGCCTTCCTCCTTGCAACCCATCCAGCTTTCCTGCCAAATTTCTCTCCCCCAAGGACATCAGTGCTGCTGTGGGGCCCACTTTTGTCTTTGCTGTCGCATGCCTGCTCAGCGTGGGGGGTACACACAAAGAGGACACCCTGCTCGGGGCACTGGGTAACACCGGCACTCCTGGGTCCGATTCCTTACCCTGCCGGCAGCCCTTGCTGTGGTCAGGGCCCTGCCTGCACTGCCCTGGGGGAACAGCTACACCCGGCCAGAAAGTCGTTGTGGTTGTACAACATAGAGAAGGTGTTATTGCGTCTACACTGGGGGTCCAGCCAGCTGAGTTACCATGAATGGGTGGAGATTATGTTTTTTAAGCCCTCTCCTACTGGAAATGGCTAGAATGAAGACACTTTGGTGTGTTGCCTCTTACGCTCAGGTATCTATAAAGACAAATTAACAATGTGCTGGTAGAGAGGGGAAAAAAAAACCCAACACATTTTCAGGAGCAATAAGGCTCGACCCCGATTCTTACAAGCACCGAGAAGCCAGAAATCCCCACAATGCTCTGAGATGCTTGGAAAAACATCCCCAAGTTAAGCATCCTCATGCTCAGCACCCACAACCTGAGCGATGCCTACAAGTCAGAGGCCACTTTTGAAGCCAGATCCTACCTAACAAGTGATTTCCCCAAAGCCGTGGAGCGAGCAAAGGGCAGCTCTGGCCCTAAGGCAGTAGTTTAGCCCCCCAGCCCTGTGCTGAGCTCAGCAGCCATCGCGCTGCCTTTGCGTGCGGTACAGCT